TCTTCCTCCTTTCCACACATCCTCTTGGGATGGCAGAGCTGGCTTTTCTGCAGAGAGCAGATGTGTGGGGGTTCCTTCTCCTTCTCCTTCTCCTTCTCCTTCTCCTTCTCCTTCTCCTTCTCCTTCTCCTTCTCCTTCTCCTTCTCCTTCTCCTTCTCCTTCTCCTTCTCCTTCTCCTTCTCCTTCTCCTTCTCCTTCTCCTTCTCCTTCGTCCTCTCCTTTTCTCTCTCCTTTTCTCTCTCCTTTTCTCTCTCCTTTTCTCTCTCCTTTTTCCTTCTCCTTTTCCCTCTCTCTTCTCCTTTTTTCCCTTTCCCCTCTTCTTTCTTTTCCCCTTTCCTTTCCCCTTTTTTCTTTCCATCATATACCTCCACAGGGAAAAAAAAAGGAAAAAATTTTCAAACACTCTTTTTTTTTTTCTTTTTTTAAACAGGGTACTTTTAACAGTTCTCTTCCTCCTTTCCACACATCCTCTCGGGATGGCAGAGCTGGCTTTTCTGCAGAGAGCAGATGTGTGGGGCGGCTGGGAGCTTTCCCAGGCGTGGGGCTGGGATGCTGGCACCCTAGAGGGGTTTTTCCTGCTCTGCCTCGCAGGTTTCCTTGGATTTTGTGAAGAGTGGCACCTACGAGCTGGAGCGGATGGGAGTGACCTTCCCGGCCCGAGCTCACACCAAATCCCCGTTCGACCCCGACAACAAACGCGTGAAGGGATTTTACTGAGGGCTGCTGGCTGCCGAGAGGGCAGAGGAGCTGCGGGCTGAGCTCCCGGCCCCACCTGCCCCCAGGCTCAGCTGCAAGAGCCGGGCAACCCCCTGGAACCCGCCGAGTCAGCGTGGGTCAAATTAGAGGGGACAGGAGGAAAAGATTCCAAAAAGTGCCAAGACTCTGCTGCTCTGTTTGCCCACTGCAGCAATAATTCTTTTCCGTGGGTTAATTGGCCTGCAAACAGCGTTTGGTCTCACTGCGTGTGAAGTGGTTTCAATTTTTGGCTTTGCTGGAAACTCTTTCCCCTCAAATGTAGTTTCGCTCTGTCTGGGAATGAATTTTTTTTAAACTAGCTCTGTTGTTCATACATCTGGAGCCTCCAAACCTGCCGTCCCTCTGGTCCCTTGCTGTGTCTGTCCCCACATGGGTGTCACCTCATCCTGGGGACCCTGCTGGGGTGGGAAGGGGCAGGAGTGCAGGGTCACTGCCCAGGCTCACGCTGTGGGTTCCTCTCTGCAGGGCTGTTTTTGTGTCATGGAACCATGGAACAGCTTGGCTTGGAAGGGACCTTAAAGCCCATATCATGGGTTCCATGGGCAGGGACACCTTCCACTGTCCCAGATGCTGCAATCCCCACCCAATCTGGCCTTGGACACTTTCAGGGATGGGGCAGCCACGATTTTTCTGGGCTGCTCCAGGCACAGGCTGTGGTGTGAGGTGGTCATTGGGGACACTGAACCCACAGCTGCCCTCGCTGGCAACTCCCTGGTCCCTTGTGGCATCTTCCCAAAGGTCACCTTGGAGGTGGCTCCTTTCAGCTGCCAGCAGAGAGGGGGATGCTGGCAGAGGCTGAGCCGTGAGCTCAAACCCCTCTGGCAGCTCAGAGCCAGCCTTGGGGGCAGCAGGGAGGGCTGCAGGGGGGTTTGCCTCACACGCACACAGCCTGTGCTGATGAAGGATCAGCAGCTCCCCATCACCATCCCGTGCTCTGGGCCCCTCACTGGGCTCTCTGCTGGAGCTTTCACCCGCCTGAAGAAATAATCTCACTCCCTGCTCTTCCCTTTTTCCCCCTTGACTAGGTTTGTTTGGGTCACAGCCTCTTTAGAGCTGATTTCAATTCCTTGCCCTCGTGCCACGAGCGCCATGGGCAAGAGCGTGAACTCTGAAATGCTTTGGTTTTACTGAAAACATTAAAAACCAAGATTGAGATGAATTTTTCTCTTGAATAGGAGGTGACTGCCCTGCCTCTGGCAGGCAGAGGGCAAGGGAGGGGGGTGGCTGTGCTCCTGTTCTGAGGGAAGGAGCATTCTGCCTCCCTGCTAAGCCAGTGCATCACTGTGGCTGGAAGATCAGGTTTTGCTTAAAAAAGCTTTTTCTGGTGTGCAGTGCTCTGGATCCCACCTGTCCCAGGGCAGCAAGGACAGGCAGCAAGCTGGGATGGACATGGACTCTCCTCCACTTGCACACATCCAGCCTCTCCTCTGCTTCTCCTGAATGTTCTCCATTCAGAGCTCAACAGCAAAAAAGCAATTTATTTTACATTTAGATATTTAATGGAGCAATTTTTCCTGACAAAAGATTTGTCATTCCCCCTCCTCCCCTCCCCTTTTCCAAACCCCATCCCAGAGGTGTCGTTTGTTCCCAGCCATTGGCCTTTGGTGGCATCGAGGGGAACAATCTGGAGTGTGGAGGAGTGGGGAGGGGAGGGAGGGGAGGGCTGGGTGGGTGTTGTGACATCCCTCCCTCCCTCCTTCCATCCATCCATCCATCCATCCATCCATCCCTGCATCCCTGCCACAGCTGCCAGCATGGGAGAGCACCTGTGGAGCCATCCTGAGCTAGGCAGGACCGTGGGACACCAGCAGGGCTTTTGTGCTGCTCCCACACATCACTTTGCTCCGTGCCTCAGTTTCCCCACAGGCAAACAAGCTCCTTCCCCCCTCCCTGGGGCTGCACAATAGCAAACCTCGCTGTTATTATTCCGGGGGTGGGAAGCAGCATTACTCAGAGCCAGCATTGCTAATAACACACTAAATATAGCTCTTCCCATCCCCGGAGGACTTGCTGAACTCTGCCTGATGAGCTTGTACCCCCTCCGGAGGCAGGGCCAGGGCACCGGCTGGCATTGCTGCGTGGGCAGGGATGTTCCCCACGGATGGATGCTCCTGCCTGGAGGGGCTTCCCGTCCTGGTGGCAGGCAGTGTGTCAGTCCCTCCGGAGCTGGCCCAGCTGGAGGGGGACGGGGGCAGCGGGCTGAGGTCCCGGGGAGGGCGGGCAGCGAGGGCTGGGCTCCCGCAGCCTCTCGGTGATGCTGGGAAGTGGCTGCTTCTCCCACTCGCCCTGCAAGAGAGGCCAGCACCCTGAGAGCACGGCGGGTGGAAACATTCCCCCAGCAAGGGAGGAAGGTGTTGGAGGCTCGGTGTTTCTGTCTGCTTGGAGAAATGACGCGAGTTTTAACATCTGAAGTGGGTTTTAGCCCAAAGCAGGGTGTTTTCTCATGAGACATCACTAATTATTCCTAGCGCAGAAGCACCTACACATCCCCTGAGCGGCGCAGACGTCTGAGGTGTTCCACAAATCCACCCCAGCTGGGGAGTTTCCACCCCAAAAAGTATTACTTGCCAAGTCAGGTGGAGACAGCTCAAACCAGGGAGTGCCACAGGCCCACCACGCTCTGGAAAACCAGGTGCTGGCAGGAATTTCCAGCAGGGATGTGCCCATGGAGCAGGAGGGATGCAGCAGCCTGGCTGAGGTGCCATGGAAGGACTGTCACAGCCATCAGGTGACCACGGCCAAGACAAATGTGCCCACTCTGTGCATCCGTGGTGACACCTTGTCCTGGGGATGCTCCCTGCAAAGAGCGACCTGCCAGGTGCAGGCAGTGCCCAGGGCTGAGCCTGCTGAGCAGGATCTAACTCAGATTTGATGTTGGCCTGGCCTGGTGGCTGGTGGAGAGGTGGGCAGGGGTTGGGAGGGCACGGGGGGGCTCAGCTCTGGGGTGGTGATGCTCTGGCTGGGCTGCCAGCTGCGTGTTCGTGCGGAAATGTCAGCGAGAGGCTGACACAGCGTGAGCAGGAGGAGGGAGGTCTGGAGAGGAGAGGTAGAGCCATGAGTCATCAGCGAGATGAAAGTGAAATTTATGTTTTCTGCTGAAATTTCTCCTGGTTTGTCAAGCGAAATGGGCCAGAGCTGGCACCATCAGCAGGAAAACCCTGGGGAAAGATGGAGTGGGATGGAGGGGCCTTTCCAAAGCTCATGGGGAGTGATCAGAGAGGGGACAGCATTGCAGGGGAGCACCAGCTGGAGGAACAACTCCTATCCTGTGCCCTTATGGCTCAGGGGAGCAGTTCAGCATCCTTAGGGTGTGCCTGCTCCAGGGCTCGGCTCCAGCCCTGAGCCCATCTGCTGCGGTGTCTGCCCTGCTGAGACATCCCAAACCCTGAGCCTGCTTCTTGTAGAGATCAAAGGCATGTGGAGTGTCTTCATAGTTGTTGTTTTCAGTGCTTTCAAGTTGAAACCTGAGCAGAGTTTACTGTGAGCCCTTGTGGGTGCAGGGGAACTTGGGGATGGCACCGTCCCCGCTGCCGTTCACAAGTGTTACCTTGAGATTTGGCTCAGTAATTAACAGCACTCAGTTCCTTCCAGAAATCATCAGATTTGGGATCACTGAACTGCAAAAACATGAGCTTAATTAGAAGCTGGTGCTTTTCTCTTGGCAGAAACAGCATGGAATAAATGAGATGTCTCCAAGTCGGGCTCGCTCTGAAACACCAGCGGAGCAGAGGCTCCTTCGCCCTCACTGCGATGTTCATGACCCACTTTGTGCCAGCATTGGCTCTGGACTGCTTGAGGCCCTTCCTGACAGCCCCCAAGACCTCTCTGAAATCAAGGGAGTTGTCTGGGTCATAAATTAAGAGGTTTAATTCATAATTCTGCTGCTTCACAAAACTTCCACACCACTTCTGTCCCTGCAGCAAAGCTCTGCATGGCTGAGAGGTGCCTGGTGTCCAGTTCCAGGAAACTGGAAAGGTTTCTGCTCACCCCAGAGTGAAACTTTGCTAAAGGGCACTTACAGTGGCAGCAAGCTGATGGTCATCCCTGCAATCAGCTCAGCATGCTCCTGTGCTGCAGTGGATAGCACTGGATCCAGGCTAAAGGTATAATCCGAATTTATTACACTGATAAATGGCGTTGGAAGCTGATGCCAGCAGTGGTTTTAAATCCTCACCACCATCATCATCATCATGTTCCTCATCTCTGGGCCTGGTTTTATTTTCAAGACCTCCCAGTCCTTTATCCTTCACATTTTGCTGGATCACCACATTTGGAAGCTGCACAGATGCTGTGCGTAATGAGCTCGCTCTGCTGGGACCTGGGGTGATTTGCCAAAGTCCTAAAAACCACCTCACGTTTCTCCTTGGATATGGCCCTACTTTAACAGTCAGCAAAAGGAGCCTCCAAATCACTTTATGCAAATGCATCTCCTAATTGGATCTGGTTGGGAGCATCCATGGTGGGCTCCTGATGTATTGTCTAAGCCCAGGGCTGGGCTGGGCTCTGTGTCCTGCTGATGCCAGGGACTCCCAGGCAGCTCCAGCCCCCTGGCCTGAGCCTGCTGGGTTTGGATGTGTCCTGAGCACCACAGACCCAACCTTACGTCTGGGAATTCTGCAGGAAAGCTTTGGGAAAGGCTGTACCTACCGGGAAGCGGACAGCAGAGGATTTGTTGCAGTGCACGGAGATGGGAGCAAAGCCGTAGAGGGATTTCAGCACATCCCTGTTGAACGTGTTCCAGGGGATGGAGTAAAACTGCTGTGGGACAGACACCTGTGGGCACATGCAGATCTCCTCATCGTTAAACCTGGGCAGGAGAAAGGCTGGGCTGAAGCACAGCAGTGCTGTGCCCTTCCAGAGCTGGGTGTGACCCATTCCTCCCTGCCTGAACCTGGAATGGCTCTGAGGGCAGCGCTGGGCACAGGGACAGCCTGCAGCAGCCAGCACCTGCAGGATTTGGGACCAGCCCGTGGGTAGGACACCCTCTGCAAGGTCAGCACCTCCCCTCTCCTCATGGGTGGATGGGCTGCAGCCTCCTCCCCTGGCGTGGATCCTTGGAGTCTGCCTCGGAAATATTTCGCATTTATGCACTCAGCCACACACTGACTCTTGCTAAGAAGTCCCTCCCTCCATTCCTGGTGGTTGTCTCTACACAGCCATCCCTCAAACCCTGGGTTTGGCTGTACCAGTGGTCCCTGTGCCCCCAGCCCCGCTGTGCAGGGCTCTTTACCTGTTGACAAGGTTGAAGTAGCGGTGCAGGTAGCCCGGATCCACAGCGCTTTTGCACAGCTCCAGCTGGGTCTGGGGGTAGTAGTGCACGTAGTTCACACACATCTCCTCCAGGATGCCAAACCCTCCCTGTGGCACAGCAGAAAGGTGATGGAAGCAAGGCCTGGCTGTGCCCTGCTGGGGCTGCACAGGGGCAGGGAGGGCAGGGGGGCACAGAGCTCACTCACACCTCTGGGTGCACACTCACATGCATCTGTATCTAAAATCTGTCTAGATCTATATCTGGATATCTAGATAGATAGAGATGAGATAGAGATGGTAGAGATAGGTATTCACACCCCTTCAGGTGCATGGCATGGGCAGCTCTCTGCTTGTCTGCCCTCTGTGCAAGGACAGACTTCCAGGCTAGACCGTGTGGTTTACATTAAAATGCAGATTTCCTATAATCCCTCTGCTATATTTAGCCTTGTCCCTGTTGATGGTACCTCTGACAGGCTCTTTTATATTTTTTCCCTGCTGCCTATGTAAGGAAATAACATGCACTGTCAAAAAATGCCACTTCTCTTTAATTACAATTAATCCCTGGTGGAACAGTTTGTGATGGGAATTAGAGTGACACATGCTACTTGACAATTAGCACCTTCACATCCCCGCTGCAGGCAGCAGCGCCTTGTGAGTTCCCCTCTTCCCACCCTCCCTTTGCTTCTGGCTGTGATTCAGCCTGGCTTCATGCAGGTGCCCACTCTGGGGGTGCCCCCAGCCCACCCTGGGGTGCCCCCAAGGGCAGGGGAGCTGCCCCTGCACTCACCACGGTGGCTCTGCTCCGATCCTCCGTGTTGTATGTGCAGGTGGTGATGAGTTCATCGCCCTGGGGGGGTTCAAACAGAAAAATTTAGGGATTGGGGAGTGTCCCACTTTAAAATCTCTGCTCCCCATAACAGGAGTCTGCAACCCCACAGGAGTCCTTACTAAAACTGCATCCCCTGCGGAGATTCCCCAGGGCTGCATCCCAGGGATGGTGTTTCCTGCTTTCCTCGCTTTTTAAGGATTTCTGCGAGGTTGAAAACACCTTAAAATTGCACTTAGGCAAGAGCTTGAAGTGCCAAAACCGGAGCTGACTTGATGGCACAAGAGCCTCCCTGCCACAGTCAGTGCTGAGGACCACGGGGACACCCCAGGGCACACCCTGGGCACGGCTCCAGCGGGTGCTAGGTGCTTTGAGCAGCCTCGTGGGGCTCCAGGAGCAGCTCCAGGAGCTGCCCCCAGCTTTGCAGTCAGGTCCTTCCCCACCTGAGGAGCCCTGGGGCAGGTTCCACTCCTGTTTTCCCACCCACTCCCACTCTGATGCCGAATCTCTTCCTCTCCTTCCATCAAGCAAGTCCAGAGGGCAGCATCATGGCTCATCCTCACCCCCCGAGGAGCCTCCCTCTGCCAGACGAAGCCCAGCTGAATTAGGAGCCTCATTTAGCTCCTGGCTGCCCACACACCAATTCCGTGCCATATGAGAGGGAGCCTGCTTGTCCCCAAAGTATCTGCGTGGAGATGGCACATATGACCCAGGGACCCTCACTCAGCCCCCCTGGGAGTCCCCAGATGGGATGGGGGGATGGAAGGAGGCAGGGAACTCAGGGCCAAGGGATCAGGATGTGCTGTTTGGAACGTTTTTTGGAGCAACTCACCGGAAAAACTGCAACAACCTCCTTCAGCATGCGGATCTCCTGGGAGGGGAGGGGAGGGGACACATCAGAGCGTTGCCACAGTGGCACTGTGCCCAGGGGGGACACCCAGCCGAGCCCCCTGCAGCCCCTGTACCTGGAAGTGAGGGCTGTAGTGGCTGTCAGCGTTCACAACCTGCCGCTCCCTCCCATCCCGGGCCAGCACCGTCACCACTTTCCTCCCTGCCAGGTGTGTGTGCAGCTGGGAGGCGAAGATGCGGATGCCAGCAGCGGGCAGAGCCTGGGGGAAGGAAGGAAGGACAGCTCAAGCCCCTGTGGGAGCCCTGTTCCCTCTCACATCCCCTCCCTCACATCCCCTGGCTGTGTGCTGGGAATTCGCCGGCCCTGTTCTGGCTCTCACACAGGGTTTAGGGGATTGCTGTACCCCTGGAAAAGCAGCTCTGAGCTCCTTGCAGAGGGACAAACCCTCACTGCTGCCAAAGCAACGCTCCAGGGCAGCAGGAGCAGCTGAGGCAGATCCTGCTCCCTTCCCTGCCCTCCTTGGTGGTGGCACAAGTGATTCCTTGTGGGCAGACCCTACAAAAACACACACCAAAACTTCCCTGAGAGAGCAAGGTGGGCCCTTTGGAACCATCTTTGAGGGAGCTCTTGGCAAGCTCCTCGGGAGCAGGAGCCAATTTTCCCAGCCCTGTGAGGGAAAGCACCACTGGGACACGGCCAGCTCGGCAGTGAGTTTTATGGGAATGGTACCCCGTGGAGCTGGAGCAGATGGCTCCCCAGGAGAGCTGCTTCCAGGGGGATTCAGCACATCCCAACCAGCTGCTCTCTGTTTATTGTACACAGCAGATTTTTCTTTCCTCACGGTGAGTTTAAAACTTCAAATTGGCAGCCTGCAGATTGGTGCTGCCCGGAGCCAGGGAACACCACGGGCAGCATTTCTCCCCTGAGGTGCAGATCCGGAGGGGACAGGCACTCACCAGCTGGGTGCATTTATCAGTGCAGTACCCCGTGAGGATGAAGCTGTCCTCTCCAGGGGGAATGGCCATCACTGGGGTGTACACCAAGCCCAGCTCCATGATTCCAGCGTCGTGGGGACGAAGGGTGGCCGTGTAGTACAGCCGGATCCCCGAGGAGTCACGGCGACCTGGGGGGCCAGGGGACAAGGACAAGTCACTGCAGGGACACGGTCAAAAGGTGAAAGACACGGACAGGTGAAAAACTATGCTTGGCTCTCTATGAGCCTCTCGCTCCCAGCTTCCTTCCTCTGTTTAAAATTGTTTTAAATCCCATAGGTTTTTGTGGAAATCTTCACTGAGTGGCCCCAGATGCACCTGGTTCCCTGGTGAGGGCACTGACCTGAGGATGAGGACAGCAAGGTAAGGGGTGCCTTTGGAGAGCCCAGAGCAGAAGGACAGAGCATGGGGGTGCTTTGGAGGACTCCCTCAGGAATGTGGCTCACTGCAACTTCTTTAATCCCAAAATCCCAAAGGGAAAGAGCAGGTTCAATAGGTCAGGAGGGGTTCAGGGCAGCTCTGAGCTCCCTGTCTCCAGGCTGGAGCCCACCCAGGGATAAGAATAACGGGGGAGACACTATTGGTTAACAGGCGAAAGCAGATGAATGATGGAAGATGTGAACTCTGTATTTATAGCCATGTTTCTTCTCAAGTTGCCGAATGTGCTATGATTGATCCACAGTACATATGCTCTGGCCTCCTAAAAATATCCTTGGGTAGTCAAGAAGCTGCTTGTTTTTATGTTAATGAAGAAACTGGGTTGTTTGGAATCCTTTTTTTTCCAATGTGTCTCCTGACAATGTTATCGAAGCAGGAGAACAGGAATACAACATCCACATCCCCCCTCCCCAGGCAGCCTGGTCTCTCTGGTGACTTGGCACTGCTGTCACTCTTGCTCTGAGCTCAGCCCCAGCCCCACTGAATCTATAATCAACATAAACAACTGACAGACTGATGAAGTCACTCCCCACCATCTTGTGTGGAAACTGGGGGCACTCCTGAGACAGCCCAGCTGAATCCTGGTGTTGCCCTGGATCACATCCTTGCAGGAACTCTGTGAGGGCAATTTTCTGCCTGCAGGCTCCTTTCCCAAGCATCCTTCCCCACCTCTGGACATGCACTTCAGTGAGGATGACTTTGCTGAGACCAGAAAAGCAGCAGCATGGTGGGGATTTAATGTATTCTTCCTGCAGGGACAGATCTGGACCATCAGCTCTCCACAAAGCTGAGAACAGGGCCATGGTTTAGGCCAGAGGCCTCCCCAGAAGGTGGCAATCCTTCCCTGGAATTTCCCCAGCTCTCCTGCCATGGTCACACAGGTAAAGCAACGGGCAGCCCCTCACCTTTGAACACCAGGGGATTGTGGTAATGGATCTCCAGACGCAAATATCTGGAGGAGCCTGGGCCACCAAAGGCAAGACCTGCTTCTTCAGGGTAATAGAAAGCCTGGAAGCAGAAGGGAGGGTGTTAGGGGAGCAGTGGGGTGGCTTTCCTGGGAATAAAGCTGGAACGCCTAAAGGAATGTGTGGGTGTAATCCTGACCCACACCATGGGCTGAGGGATGTGACTTGTACCCTTGGTTGTGCTTGGAGAGCTGCCCTTGCTTCCAAAAGCTTCTCTCATTCCACATGCATTGGCACAACACCTGAATGTTGTCATAAAATCATAAAAATACCCTGAGTTGGAAGGGACCCATGAGGATCATCAAAATCCAGCCCTGGCCCTGCACAGGACAGCCCCAGGAATCCCTGAGCTGGAAGGGAACCACAAAAGGATCATCAAAATCCAGCCCTGGCCCTGCACAGGACAGCCCCAGGAATCCCTGAGTTGGAAGGGACCCATGAGGATCATCAAAATCCAACAGCTCCAAGAATCCCACAAGTGCCTGGAGTGCTGTCCAAAACCTCCTTGAGCTCCCTCAGGCTTGGGGCCGTGACCATTCCCTGGGGAGCTCTTCCAGTGTCCCACCCCACTGATTTATGGCACCAAAGAGGAGGAGAGCTGGGGACACATAGAAAATCCAACACACCCAGGAGGGGCTGGGAAGCTCAGACAGGCCTGAAGCCAAACCCCAGCAGAGACCAGGGTGAGGGCAGCCCCAAAGTGGCAACCCCAAAGTGGCACCGGGATGGTTTGGGAGGCAGCAGGGCCCTTGTCACCCAGGGGGACGTGTCCCCCTTGTCACACCCACCTGTGCCCCCATGGCCCAGGCTGCCAGCACGTGCCTGCAGTAGTTGAGGCGCTCTGGCTTCATCTTGGAGTCGCAGGGCCCGTTGTAGAGGGGGAAGCTGTCGAACTGGGCCGCGCACTGGAAAACCTCCATGTGGTGCACCAGAGCCTCGTTGCCCGCCGTGACCACTGGCTCGTACTGCAAGGCAGGTCCAAGGAGGAGAGGACACACTGAGAGCCCATCCCTGGGGCCTGCAGGCTCCAGGAGGTGCCAGGGCAGGAGTATCTGAGCTGGTACCAGTTTCTGCCACGGGATGGGGAGGGAAGGTTGCTCAGGGCGTGAGGCACTGAGGGCCAAGAACTTTCCCCTCATATTTTGCTTATGGCAGAGTTAAGCACCTGGGTACTTCAGAGGGGGAACAACATGTTATTAGTGCCCAAGAAGCATTTAGGTCAGTTGTGGAAATATTTAATTTCTTGGCTGGCTTAGGGACCAACCCAGAACCCACCAGAACCCACAGAGAACCAGCTCATCCTCTCTCTAGCAAGAGATGGGGATCAGCAGAAGCTCTTGGTCAGTTTTGTGATGACCAAATCCTTTACCAGGGGTAAAGGTGGCCCTGGGGATGTTGCTTTTTCCTACAGAGAGTCCTGACTGTGTTGTTGTTGTAGCTCTGCCTGCAGCCCTTGGGTTTTTTTTCTGCCCAGCAGCTGCTTGGGGCACGGGGAGGGGGATTTGGGGTAGAGAGAGTGACTCAAGCCTGAGGAACATCTCTGGCTAAAAGTGCCAGCTGCAGAAGTGATCTGCAGCAGCGGGAAGGTATCAGGAGTTACACACTTCTTACTTACACACAGATGATTCACTTCACACCATCTGTCAGAGAGAAAATCCTCCTTCTGAGCCTTCCTTTGCAGCGCCGTCTCTCCCCTCGCAATCACCGAGCGCTCGCTGCAGCTCGAGTGTCTGCAGGTTCTCCTCATCCCCGTGGTGTGGTTTTGACTCTGGATGTGCCAGGTCACCTCCTGAGCCACCCCCACACCTGCTGGGTGCTCTCCCATCCTTTCCTTGGGGTTGCCAGAAGGTTACTGTCTCTCCTTTGCAGGAGATGGACCATGTAACACGTCTGGCAGTGCCCACAAGTTTCATTTACGTCTGTAACTCTCTTTTTTCGGACTATGCCTCATCCTTTACATGCTAGTTTCCATCCTGGCTGGCTCTGCCCTGCTCTCATCAGCCCTGTTCCTTTGTTTCCTGCGGTTTTATGCTCCTCATGGCTCTCTGTGTGCCAAAATCCTGCTGTGGGTCTGTTCCTTCTGCAGGGAGTCAGCTCTGAGCCTGCCCTGGAACCTGATGGATGTGCCAGGTGGGAAAACATTACCTGGTCCCCTCCTGCTGAGACACTCTAGGAGACAAGAGGCTGCTACTGACTGGTGGGGTGGACCTGGAAGAGGTTTTGGGACCACATTTGGATGCCAGGGCCTGAAAGCCTCCCTGTGAGGTGGAATTTGCAGGATGTGAACACAATTACTGACCCACCCTGGGGAAAACAGCCCTCTTCTCCTGCCTCTTACCATGATAATGTGGTGCTTGGGGAAGCCCTCTGGGAGTTCTGCCATGTAACACCAGTAGGTCGTCTCCTGGCTGGGAATGACAACATCTGGGGCTGTTATCTCCATGGTCTTCATGTCTCTGGGCAGCTCAGGGATGCTGATGTTGGGTTTTAGCAGCTGCACCCTCTGCAGCCCCCCGCGGAGGGCAGAGATGTTGATGGCTTGCAGGGAGCGCACCGGTTTCTCCAGGATGCCGTAGATCAGGTGCACGGTGCCATCCTGAAGCCAGAGCAGAACAGACCTGTGGGTTTTTCATGCAGAACAGGAGCTGCAGGGACCATTAGCACCAGCACTGGTGGCATGAAGCCAGAAATGGGTCTTGTGATCCCACCCTGACTGCACCAGCAGCTCACTCTGCTGTGCTGTCCCAGGAAAGCTCTACATTCCAGGTGTTTCTCTGGCTGATGTGGTCACTGAGGGTTTCCTAGCAGGTTCCCCATCAATTCCAAAAGGGTGACACATCCTCTTTGCCCCTTCCAAGCCCCTCATGGGCTCCAGGCTGGGACAAGCCCATAAGTGCAGGGGTCATCCTCCCCTGCAGCCCATCAATAGCCTGGGGGGTAAAAGCAGAAACAAAACTTCTCCCTGAAGCCCTTCCTTTTCTTCCAGCTTCTTTTCAGATGGAAGGTACCACAAGAAGCTCTGCTGAAAGTCTACTGCAAGCAAGAACACTGAGGGCTCTGGACAGGAGATAAAGGAGAAAGGAAAAAGAGAACAATCTTTTCCTAAAGGATCAGAGAATAAAGACCAGCAAGCGTTTTCCTGGCTCACTCACACAGATTGTTCCCTCCAGGGCTCTCAGTGTTTTGGCAGACGGCAGACACTTCTCACCACAAGAGAAGCTTTTGAGCACCAGCAGCAAAAACTCGAGGACACTCTGTGCCCACGTTGGCTCTAAAATATCCTGCCCACAAAGGCTTTCATGTGAGATGAGCCTTGCACTGATTCCAGGGCCTGTAGCTGAGCCCCTGAGCTGTCTGACATCCCCCACTGGGAAGGTTTACCCCAAATCCCAGCTCAGAGAGGAGTGGTGGATGCAGAGCCAGGGAGACACCACAGAGCAGCACCTCTATTTGCTGTCCCTCTGTCCCAGCTCCTGTCACCACCCTCCTGTTTGCCTCCTGTTGATACACCAACCCCTCTTCGTGACACTCCCAACAGTTGGCTCCAGACTGTCAAGCAGAGTGATGCAGGAAGGATTTATATAGACCCAATGCATGCTCAACAGGAGCTGATGATGCAAACGAGCTAAAAGCTCCACTTGAGAGAGCTTTTGAAGGGGTTGTGAATAGATGGTGCCAAACATTACTCATGGGCCAGGGCTGACATCTGTAGCTCACTTCCTCTGCCTCACACAGCACCAACACCTGATGCTGTGCCCAAAGAGGGACAGGGCTGGAGTTGTGCCCCAGGGCTGGGGGTGCCACAGTGGGGTGAGGGTGATGCCATACCTCTATCAGGTAGTCCTTGGGGTCACAGGTGCTGAAGGCTCTTCTGAAGAGCAGGTAGAGCCCCTCAGGAGCCCTGCGAGCCCCGAGGAGCTGGTAGTCCTGCTGGGAATCCATGTGGAGCTGCCCCTTGGCGTCACTCCAGGCATCCTGTGAGAGAAAGAGCAGCCTGCTCAGCCAGGAGGTGCCTCCAGAGGTACCACAGGTCATCCTTCTGTGCACCCTCAGCACCCCAGCGCTGCAGGATGCCTGTGCTTTGGTTCATGCCCACTCCAGCAGCTCCTGGGCAGATCCATGCTGGAATGGCCCTCTGCTACAGGATCCCTGGTGCTCAGACAGACCTGGGAAACACCTGACCCAGCACTAATAGTCTGCAGAAAGACCTTTACAAGCTGAAATGTGAGCGGGGAAAGGTCAGGAAGGGAGGAAGGAAAGCCCCCAGGGACAAGTGAAGGTGTTGCATTGGTCTGTGCTGTATTTTGGGTGTGTTTGTCTTCGGGGGACCCTGTGGAATGGGGTGCTGAGCTCTGCAAAACGCTTGGCACAAACGAGCCTCCCTCAATTCAAGATTAGACTCTTGCTGGGCTAAGGATTTTCTGCAAAATCCTTAAATTTTTTTGTGGTCAGATTTTTGTGGCAGCCCAGCACAGCCTCCCAAAACCCGCTTGTTGTAGAGGATGGTGACAAAGCCACCCCAAGAAGCAAAGCAGCAGGGTATTCCTGTGCCTTGGGGTTTGAAGGTTTGGAGTATAAAATCCTGTGATAATTTGGATTTGATCAGGGATGTTTCTTTGATCTTTTGTTTCTCCTGTGTGTCTCCTGTTTACTCAGAAAAGGCACCCAGGAAGTAGCTGGCTGTATGCACACAAGTGGCACTGCTTCTCTTATCTTGGGAGGGAAAACCAGAAGAAAAAGGATAAAGCAACTTGGCATCATTTCAGCCAGAGCTATAGAGTCATATTTCCAGAACATATTGTCCTTAGAGGGGGGAGAGGGAAATCAGCTCCAGGGAGCTCTCATGACATTTGTTTTCATAGGAATACGGAGCGCAAGTTAATCTCATAGTACATGGGGGGCTGAACAAATGTGGATCTCTTTAACAGCCAACACACTTATCCAGAAGAAAAGCTGCTGGGAGAGAGAAAAGCAGAGCTGGAGAGATTTATAGAGATCTCCTGCAGGATGCTGTTCAGCACCAAGTGAAAGAGAAAACCCGAGCGCTGCCGGGTGTTTCTGTTTGTCTTTGGGTGAGCACAGGAAGGCAGATTAGAAATGATCCTTTATGTTTTCTTTACATGATGCTGTGAAATCCTGGAGCATTTGGCCCACCACAGACCCTGAAAGGCTGGTAATTAGCAGGAAAACAGCGCAGATAATAAACCCTTCTTTTTATGCTTTCATTGCACTGCGGATCACATTGCAGCTGATTGCGAAAGAATGTGTTTTATGGTTAATTTGAAGTAAGCAGAGAGGTAAAATTTAACTCACTGGAAAGCCTCACATGGGCAAAAATGGGAATTTCTTTCTGCAGCCAAGCACAATCACAATCAGCCTGATGTGGTGGGCTGGGGATAGGGCTGGGAAAACCACCCAGACAGGAACCCAGCAAACAGACAGCAACAGGAAGGATGGAGTTTGCAGCAGCAACAGCAAACAACACAACTGAAATCAGTTTTCCCAAACACATTTGCACCTCTAATTTCTGACAGCACCCCAGGCTGCCCTGTTATCCCATTGATCCCTCTGGATGCAACTCCCAGCCAGGTTCCTCCTGCTGGCAGGAGCAGCCTCTCAGCCTGGCGACTTTTGCCCTGTCTCAGAGCCATTAATGGGAGCTGTGGTTAATTTTTAATGTGGCTGGCAGCAGCACACGAGTGAAGCAGGGTGTTGATGTGTGTGTCTTTGCAGCTGAACACAGCAGAGACACCCAACTCCTGGCTCCCTCCGCCTTGCTGATGTGCTGCTGTGTTTATTCTTTTCTCTTTTGGGTTAATCCCCATGCCAAACCCACAGCGTGGATCCGACCTGGGGTAGAAACCCCCGAGACCTTCTGGACCCTCCACCAAACCACCAGCTAGATTCAGAGAGCTGCATTGCCAGGGAGGGAGCCCCAAAAGCACCCATGCAAACCCTCAGGTGACTCACCCCAAAGTAGGAGTTGTGCCCGTCGCTCCAGAGCACGGCCAGGTCGGCGTTCTCAAACTCGCCCCTGTCCGACATCCCGAAGAGGAGCCCGAACTGCAGCTCCCTGATGAGCAGCTGGAAGTGCACGGCTTGCTCGGGGTAGCTGACATTCCAGGAGAGCTCCAGCAGCCCCTGGGGATCCAGGGGCACCTTGTAGGGGAAATCACTCTGGCGGGGCACAGAGCCCTGCAGGGCCACCACCAGGATGACCAGGAACGCTGCCACCATGGTGAAGTACATGGATGCCACCTCCCGCAGCTTGAGGCTGGGGCAGGAGCAGGGCTTGCTCCTGGAGCTCTGCATCTTGCCAGGACAGCACCCAGCACCTGGCTGTGCCCATTTATGTGCTGGTCCTCCTGGGCAAGCTGGGTAAGTGATAGTCTTTAATTGCATTTAGTTGTTGGGAAATTGGACTGGTGTATTGACTCCCCTGTCAGCTCCTGGCCAAACACTTGTCATCTGCTGTCTCCCCTTAATTGGCTCTAATTGCACATGGACATTATCAATAGCAATTGGGTTTGACTGGGCTGATGTGATTCACTCTTAAATCTTCTTTAGTGCCTGCGAAGGGCTGCTTGCTCACAGGCTGCTCTGGCTGAGCCCTCGTGGACATGCTCTGCACTGCTTGTGGTGCCTTTGGCCTGGATGTCCATATAACCCAGCCTGGGATCACCCCAAAGGTGGCCAGACCTGAGAACAAAGGACCCTGAGCCTTGTCTGAGCTCCCAGGCATTAAATAATACTGACAGGGATTGAAATATTTTCCCTGCAAAGCTCAGTGCCAGAGGAAATGCTGATTTCCTGAAAAGCAAAGGACCCTGAGCCTTGTCTGCCTTGCTCCCAGGCATTAAATAATACTGACAGGGATTGAAATATTTTCCCTGCAAAGCTCAGTGCCAGAGGAAATGCTGATTTCCTGAAAACAGCAAGAAAAGAGATGTCTCCTCTCCTCTCTGCTCTCGTTTTTTGCCTTTGTGGGATTTAATTCTGGCCCTTTCAAACCCAGCAAAGCCCAGCTCCTCTCCCACCCTGCTTTGTACCCATTGAACCCCCACCTGCCTAGACCACTGGATATATTCAATATTTGTTCTTTGTAGCAGGTGGGACTTTGGCTCCAGTTTAAAAACACCTTTAGCCTCTCCCCCTCCCGCTTCCCATTTGTTTAAAATCTGATGGATTCTCTTTCGCTTATTAACTTTCCCACGTTAATTGGAATTATAATGAACTGCCTGGAGCCCTTTGATGCACACACACACAAACACACATTGCCTGGCTTTAGCCTACGAGCCGGTGGCATTGTTTTATTAATGCCACCTCTGTGCTGTCGGGTGCCACCCGTGCGGGGTCCCCTCGGGGCTCGGCTTTCACTCCTGGTCCTTGCAGCAATGTCACAGGGGCAGATCCACCTCCCCCAGCCCTGGGGAAGGAGAGGAAATGGATTCAGCTCGGCGTTTTCATGAGTCATCAACGCCAGCATCTCCACGTTAAACCCGAGGAGGTTTTACCGTCCTAAGACACAACCATTACTCAGGAATGCGTCAATTGATCCCGGCCGGCTCTCCTTGCCGGGTGACCTGCTGCTCGCAGGGTTTGCTCTCTCGCTCAGCCCCACCAGGCAAAAGGCCAAGCACAGGGAGGGATGGAGAGCTGAGCTCTCCCAGAGGAGCGTCCCTCAGCCCCATCCCTCCCCCGGTGACTCCATCGCACAGCCCAGTCCCACATCAGCCCTCCCACAGCTGCTAAAAAGCCTTAAAAGCGCGCCTGGATAGCAGGAGGTCGCTGGAGCTGCCTGGGGATGCTCCCAGAATGGCAACTCTGGGGTTCTGCTCGCTGGATCTGCACCTCGCCCCAGCCACGGCTCTCTTCACCTTCCTGAAGGAGGATGCAGCATTTTCCCCTTTTCCTGAGGCTCCTGGACACACTGAAGGCATCAGATGGATGTCCCTCATCCCCCTGATGCTCGAGAATTACACAAGCCTGGCTGCCTTACAAAAGCCCCATAGAACAGATTTTTGTCCTTCCCTATCCCTGATCTCCTCCAAGCAGATTCACCCACTTGTCCTCCTCTCTTGGCTTCGTTTCCTCATTGTAAAGAGAAGATGCTGAGCTGCCAAGCACGGCAGGAAGGCAGAGTGATCCTCACCGGGGGCAGGAGGGGGTCCTCAGCTAACAAGCTCTGCCTCCCTCTATCAGAGATGAAACCCCAGGTTGCTGGCGTGTGCAAGTGGAGCTCCTGAGCTCTCCTGTACAGGGGGAATTTGCAGTGGAACAGCAGAACACGGGCAGGTCAGCTTGAAAACAGCTGAACTTTGCAGATAAGCGCTGAGAATTTATTTGAAGACAGAGAAAAAAAATTATGTACATCTCCCTCTCTCCTCCCTTTCAGTTTCTCCTGAGTCGTGGCTCATAAATCCAGGCAAGGAGTGAGGATCCAGCTTTGCACTCATTGCTCGGGGTGTTTATTTTAAGACTTCAAGGAGATGTAGAAACGCCAGAGTTTCCTGACTGGGAAACTCATTCGGGAGCAGCGTCCCACGGGAGGGCTGAGGGGTGGGAGCCGCGGGTCCTGCCCTTCCCTCCAGGGCAGAGCAGCCACTTTGTGCCCCTGTGGGAGCTCCTGAGGAAGGGAATGCCGGCAGGATTGTGCTGGAGATGCGACTCGAGTGTCCCCGCAGCCCTCATGCCCCTCTCCAGGCAGAAAAGCACAAAAGATGCCCGGGAACGCCTGGAGCGGGCTGTGAGCCCCAGGGCAGGGCTGCTTTGGGCTGGGCTGGATGCTCAACCCGGGGGTTGCTGAGCCACACACCCAAACCCTCCCGGTGACAAAAAGCCGTGGCTTCCCCTCGCCACTTCCCTGCCTGGCTGCAAAGCTGGTGGCCAGCGGTGCCAGGGAGGGCTGCCCCCCTGGAACAAAGGCTGCCTCACAGGTACGGAGTTTAAACACAACTGATGCTCCGAATTAGGGGCTGAAGCAGGCAGCAGCCCCCCCGAGCTATAATCCATTGCCTCGCTAACAGAAATGGAAATTCAATTTGGCCGATGGCAGGGAAGCTTTGTGTCTGCTCCCGCGGCCGGTGCCGCTCTCCGTGCCCCGGGGCTCTGCTGTGCACAGCCCTGCCCAACCCCAGGATCGAATTTGCCTGCGTGCTGATGAGGTTTGGCAGGGTCTGACTCAGGCTGGAGCCGTGTGTGAGCAGGGGAAAGGTGGGCTGGCACACGGGGGGATGCTCAGCTTTGGTGACCCTGCAGGGGTCAATGTGGGTCACTCCTCTGGCCAAATCCAGCCCTCAGACAGCAGATCAGGGCCGTGCAGCAGCCCCACGACTCACAGGATCTGTTCCATCACACCCCAGGGTGGGGAGATTGTTTATCATCCTTCCCAAAGGATCTCTTTGCCCAGTCCTGTTCCCATATGGAATCAGAAGGGATATGCAGGCTGCTCATGGGGGCTTTTGTGCACCAGGAGGGCGCTGTCCCTGCCAATCTGAGTTTCAATTGCCCAGCAGGGGTACAAGTGAGTGTCTGCCCTCTCTAAAGTAGCTTTAGTGTCCCTGTGCCACCTGGGCCACAGAGTGCTGTGAGGTTTTACAGAGAACTTCCATGTGTGACAGCAGCCTGAGCTGTTTTAACTCACAGATGTGCCATGTGCCAGCCAGGACAGAACCCTTGGAGGTGACTGGTCCAGCAGGGATGGGTGGGAAGAGCCATTCCTTCCTCCTTGCACTGAGTTTGTGCCTTACAGCACAATTGCTGTAACAATCCCCCTTGCCAAGCCTCTGCTTGTTCCAGTTTCTTGCTTTCTCCCAACCTGTTTTGCCTTCCTCAGGACCAGATTTTCTTTTGCCTCATTCCCCAAGAGGATCACATCCAAAGGGGAACCTCAGACCTCCCCACTGAGCCACTCACGCCAAATTAGGGACAGAACTGGACCTGAGCTGCTCTTTACAGCTCAGTCTCTGCTCCTGCTCTGGCACTGAAGGTGAGGACTGCACTGCCCTGACTGAGAAGCTCCATCCCTTCTGCCTCTCCCCCTGCTCCAGCCATGCACCCACAGATCTGCAGAGCCAAAGGTGGCTGTCTGGGCTAAGCCACGGTGAGCTGGTGATGGGACAGCAGGAGAAAGGCCAAAATTACCCAAAGGAAAGCACTGGTTGCTCTCTGGGAGGTGGTACTGCCCTGCCAGCTGCTCCAGGCTGGGTGAGCAGCCAGGCCCCTTCCCAGCAGAGCATCCCAGAGAAATTCCCTCCCCAGTGCTGCCGCAGCTGAGGCACCTAATGAGATCTCCTCGCCTGTGCATGCTATATTAGGGTTTCCATGGATATGGTGTCACAAACACTGGGCTGTGGCTTTGTTATATAAACAGGAGAGATTGCCACAAATACCCAAAATATCTGAAAAGGACAGGAAGAGACAAAAGCGTTCTCTGGGTGTGTTTATGAAGCGTTGTGTGATCCAGGGGATAGTGCCAGTGGGAGGTGGGAGAGGTTTGAGTGAGCTTTGGGAAGTGGAGTTTATCTGAGGGGTGGTCTCTGACTCAGCAGCTCTGGAGACTCACCCTGATCTTCAGTGGGATGTTTTTAAATGAACAAAAAGGTGCTGCTGGCTGGGCTGCTCCTGCTCTGCTCGTGCCTGAGGGCTGGGCTGGGCTCCTGGTGTGATGGACATCCTTCTCCATGAGCAAGTTCTTCCTCTCTAAGCCTCACACAGATCGTGGTCATCCCCTGTTCCTGCCATATGCAAGGAAATCCTGGTTCCTGCTGGGGCCAGGGGTGCTGATGGTGGTGGGGACACACACCAACTCTCCCAGGACTGCCCACACCTGACCCTGCTCTGCAGGACCAGATCACTTTTTTACCATTTCAGGTGCAAAAAGTCCCTTTTGCACAGTCAAAAGGAGCATGTAATGTGAGGAAAAAGCTGCTCTAGAATGGAGGTGGGATGTAAGGGACACAGAGACATCAGGGTGGCTAAAATTGTATTGCACTCCCACTCCCCTGCCAATAACAACACCAGAAATAAAGTGGCTTTGCAATAACCATCTCCACGCATTGGAACACAGATTCACGTGTCCCCGCAAAAGATGCTCCAGGCAGGATCAACTCTGCTCCAGCCTCGCTCTGCAGGAGAGGCATGGGAAGCTTGGTCCAGTCCTCCCAGTGGTGGTGACTCTTCCCCCAGCAGGTGCAAGCCCAGGTTCCCAGTATCCACCAGTGCCTCCCTTTTCCCACCCTCCATGCTCACCTGTGGTGACATTCCCAGCCCGTGGCTGTGTCGGCTCATTCCTGGTCGGATGGATGCCTTCCACCATGGGATGAGCATCCATCATCCATCCATCATCCATCCATCCATCCATCCATCCATCATCCATCCATCCATCATCCATCCATCCATCATCCATCCATCCATCCATCACTCCATCCATCCATCCATCCACTTGTTTTCTCTCCTCTTTCTCTCCATGTGAATCCAAGCTGACACATCTCCAAGATTCATCACCCGACCTGTGGTGGAGAATTCCAAATTCCAAAAGGACAGATCTGTTTTATCCTTTAAAAACCACACAAATCCCCTTTCCCCCTCTTCAGACACAGAACACCCTGCACTCCTCCACTACCAGCCATCCCTGATTTCACAGGACCACTCTTAATTTCCCTGAAGAGTTCTCTCCCACCTCTGCAACGGCAGGGGAGAATTCTTCTCCACTTTGGTTGGAAATGACAGCAAAAGGAGCTGGAATTGCTGTGGGCACAGCTCCAGGGCTGCCTGCCACACCAATTTCCAGGGGGTGGGCTGGTGCTGAGCCCTCCTGCATGGGGCTCTGCACTCAGTGCCAACCTTTCTTCTTGTTCTTCCTCTGGCCCTCAGTTGCTGGCACTGAGCTGCTTCCTGAGGATCCCACAGCAGGCTGGATCAGCATGGAGAGAAGCAGATCCAGGAGAGGACACGGGGCCAAGAGAGTCTGAGGAGTTTGGAGATGCAGCTTCATCAGCTTAGAAAAGGGCTGGAGCATTGGATGGCAAAGGCTGAAGGCCCTGCTCCTTGAGGTTTGTGATGCACAGCTTAGCAGAAGGACTAATAAAGATTAGAAATTGTGGATAAAGGAGATTTCCTTTGGAAAACTCAATGTGGCTTCTGTACAGGGAGGGTTTGCCCTACAAACCTCTTGACAAGCTCAGGAAGCTTGAAGGGGAAGGTGTTTCCAGGAATCCTTGGATTTTCCAAGGCTGTGACAAAAGGCTCTGCCTTTTTCCCAACGTTGCCCAGATACTCATGGAAGGATTGATCTGTTAGTCAGGTTCATCCTTTGGCACCCTGAGGTTGTCACCTTCAAGGGCAGACACCTCTCAGAGTGACACGTGGCTGATGTGTCCCCAGGGCACCTTCAGCTCCTGCCTAAAGCCATGGCACTGGATGCAAGGGGAGCACCAAGGGGTGCTCCAGTTTGGGGCAGCTGTTTGGGCTGTGTTAAAAGCCAGGTGGTTCTGACATCATGGGGGGCTAAAGCAGGTGCAGAGAGGTGGCTGTGGAAGAGCACAAAGCTGGAATCACTGCTGCTCTCAGCAATATAAAATTCTGCATTAAAGCCAATGAAGGTGACTGAGGTGCTGCAGACAGGAGGAGGAGGCAGTGGGGACTTTTCAGGCTGCTGCCATGAATATTTGGGATCAGCTCAGAGACCATCCAAGAGAAGGAACCTCCATAATCGTGGGGAAGAGGCAGAGAAAAGCACCTGGTCGCTCCATGAGGACCAGAGGGTGGCTGGCACTGTGAGCTGAACCTCAGAGCATCTGCTGCAGCTGCATCCTCCTGCAAAACTCCACACATGGGGTCCTGTCACTGCCAGGGAGCTTCAGGTAAAAACAAATGCCAGAGAGAAGCTGAGGAAAAAGCTCTGTCCTTAGGAATGGGGAAGGAGAGTGGCAGGTGATGCCAAGATTGTGTTGTCACTGATCCCAAACCCACTCCCAGGGTTTGCCACGTGCAGGGTTGGATTAGAGTGCCCTTACTCTGTGTTCTCCTCATGGAACAGAGCCCTGCACAAGCAGTGGGATCTTTAGCAATATTAAGAGCCTTTTGCTGCTGTATTTCAGTTGAGTGTGTGTTTTATTGCATCTCTGGAAGGCCACACGCTTGATGTGTGTCACATCCACCACACTCCAATTGCCAAAGGAGTTTTGAGGATAAAAACATCACCAGCATCCCCCAGGCCGGTGTGCTCCCCTGGGAATACACCCAGGGAGCTGGGCAGTGCTCCAGCAGCCCATTGCTCCCAGCAGTGCCCAGGTTTGGCTGTGGGTTGTGCTCACAGATCAGTCTCAGGTGGGAGATTCCTCCAGGGCCAGGAAAACCAAAGGGGAGCCTTCCCCAGGGATGGAGCAAGCTGGAGGTGGGGCAAAAAAAAAGAGAGCAGCCTTGGATGCTGAGTGATGGGAAGATCATAAAATATTCCTGGGCAGTTTGATGCCAAGCTGTGAGTCAAAGGAGAAAACCAAGAATTTGTCGTTGCAGGATTGGGAGGGCACAAAATCACCGAAGGACTGACACTGGGAATAACCCAGGGGTGATGCTGAGGGAAGCAGGTGAGCACAACCTGAGCACTGCACTTCAAACCCACAGATGATTTGGCTCCTGGCTGCTGCTGGGTCTGTTTATCCCACAGACTTGGCAGGCACAGGACACTTCCCAAATGTTGGGGTTGATGAAAGTTGTGGCTGGCCAGCTGCCAGGTCTCGAGGCTATCAACTGGCTCCCAAACTGTGGATGCTAATTAGCACTTCCCTTCTGTAAAAATTTCTGTTGCAAAGTCTGGGGAATCCGTGTTTGCACAGCCCAGACCGTGCTCACCATGGAGGTCTTGTACATCAGTGCAATACAGAAATACATTATAAAAACATTTTTCTCCTTCACAGAATTCTGATTTCCCAGAATTGCTCTTAGGGTAAGCAAATCTCATGTTAAAGTCCAAAAAAAAAGCTCTGTACTCTCTCAAGGCAACCCAAGCATTTGCTAAGTCCTTGTTATAACATTGCTTTTCCTTGCTTCTTATCCTGGGCTCAGCTCCGTGAGAATTGCTTTGACATCTCCCTGGGAAGCAAGGAGGATGTTTATTGCAGTACCTGAGGCCAGGCATTGAAACCAAAATGAATGGGCCAAGCAGAGAAGCTCCATAGTTCATATTTCTGAGCAAGGATACAGTGACAAATTGCCAGACAATGACGTTTGACCTGCACAAGTAATAAAAAGCTAAAATTGGTTGGGTGGTTTTTTTTAAAGCACAGCCCTTCAACATCTTCTGCACGTGGTTCAAGCAACCTTGAAGAAACACTCAACAGCAACCACAACACAGTTCAGTATTAAGTGATTTGATAGAATAATTAAATAATAATTGTCTTAAGTACTCTTTAAAGACAAACTGTGTTTTTTTCCCCTCACCTTCATTTCTTGTCATCACACTGAGTGCTTTTCCTTTCAGATCTCTGCACAGGCTTTTGAACTGCATGTAAAGTGTGCTGGAATTGCTGGAGGTGATCAGTTTATTTGGGGAGCAATTAATTAAATACAACTGTTTCTCTCTGTATAGATTAAAGGAGTGCTACGAGCGATACCATCTCAAAAAGAGCAGATGTGCTATAAAAACACTGATTATTCCCATCAGTTGAGAGGGACAGAAAAGTATCGATGGGCTGGAACTGCTGATGAGAAAAATTAAGTTAGTTCTTGGGAATGAGTTTCAGTGCCAGGGAAATGAATGCTGCAGGACAAAAGTCACACAGAGACAATCCAGGGGCCTGCAGAAAGGTCCCTGCTGCACCAGGAGTTTGACAGCTTGGCTGGCAAGAGCCAAGGATGGTGGCAGAGCCTCCTGAGACACACTGAGCATCCTCTGTGCCCAGGGGAGCTCTGCAGGGAGCCTGGGGACCAGGGACTGCAGAGCTCAGGGAGAGCTGGGGCAGTGTGTGCTCCCCTGTCACACCAGCTTGGGGCTGGGGGACAACCTCCACGTCTCCTGTGGTGGTGCTTCTGCAGGTTGCCCACCTGCTAGAGGGGTAATGCCCATCTAGGATTCAGGTTTTGTCCCAAATTTTGCTTTTTCCAGCTCTGAAGAGTCATCACTACCCCAGCATTAAGGAAACCTTGTGATTCACCGCTGCTGAAAATCACCACTTTGGGAAAAAGCTGTGGATGAGGGCTCTGAGCTGAGCTTGTGCTGGAATGGGCATGGATTTGGGAAGAGGAGAGATATTACCTATTCTGTCCATGAAACCAAAACCAGCTGAAACCCCAGCATAGACCCTGAAAAACAGAGCAGGGAACAAACTCACATCACCTGTAAAATGCCCTGGGGGCCGTGTGGGATCAAACAGGGGGTGCTGAGGGTTTGCTTTGGCTTTGTCCCTGCCCTGGGGATGGGGAGGGGGCTTCTTTTCCTGTGCCTGCACTGGGGGTTAAGCTCTCTAGTCCAAACCAGCATCCCCTGGCTCCGTGGTGGGTGACAGGGCTCTCTAAGGGGGTGACAGGGCTCTGTAAGGGGGTGATCTGGGTACACAGGGGGTGACCCCACTCTGTTGGGGGGTGATTCGGATATAGAGGGGGTGACCCCATTCTGCAGGTGGGTGGTTGGGCTATAGAGGGGGTGACCCGGCTCTGTAGGGTCCGGGTCCGTGGCAGGATGACCCCTGTCTCTTTGGGGCTAACTCAGCTCTGGGGTGATTCTCCCATCTCCCAGCGCTGCTCTGCCCCTCCTGGATACCCAGCGCATCCCCGCATGACGGGGCTGGGACCCTGCGGCCGCACGCCAGGCTGGGAATGGGGAGTGGCCCCGCACCCCGGGAAGGGAAAGGAGAGCAGCCCCGCACCCCGGGATGGGAATGGGGAACGGCCCCGTACCCCGGGAAGGGAAAGGAGAGCAGCCCCGCACCCCGGTTTGGGAATGAGGAGCGGTCCCGCACCCCGGGCTGGGAATGGGGAGCGGTCCCGCACCCCGGTTTGGGAGTGGGGAGCGGCCCCGCACCCCGCCGCCGGCCCGGCCATGTGCCGACAGGGGTGGCTGCTGCCGGCTGCCTGCTCCGCGCCCGCCGCTGCCGCCCGCCTCCTCAGCCTCCTTTCTGCCGCTTATTTTTAATATATGTATATTTTTTGATCGTTATTTCATTTTTTAGATTTTTTTTTTTTAAACGTTTATTTTGGTATTGATGCTCTGCGAGCGGGAGACTTCGGGAGACGCGGTCCTCACCTGAGCGAGCCGGCCCCATTCCCCCGTGTGAAGGTAAGCGGAGAGGGAGAAGGCACCGGCGCGGGGGCTCCGCGGGACCCCCCCGGCTCTGCCGGGCCCCTTCTCCCCGTCTCTGCCAGCGCTGGGGTCTCTCGCGGTGTTTTTTCCCTGTTTGCTTCGCTCCCGCCCCCGCCGCCCGCTCCCCGGTGCATCCGAAACTGCCGGGGACCGCTGCTCCGGGGAACCGGCGGCGAGCCCCGCATCCCGGGGATGCCCGCAAGGAGGGCAGCAGGCACAGGATAGCCCCGCTGCCGAGAGAGGGCTGGGAAGGGATCTGGAGGGGGAGACGGTGAGGAGGGACATGGAGAACTGCACGGCAGCCGCTCCCCCAGAGCCTGCCCGGAGGGACCGGGCAAGTCCGGCCACCCCAGATCTGCGTGGAAAATCCTGGGGTGCTCCAGGCTCGGCTTTCCCTCATCCTACAGCATCCTCAGCTCCAAAGCGTAGGAGAAATGTCATAAAAGCACCTTTCAGGGGTGGAGTGGGAAAGCTGCCCCCATCCCATGGCTCTCCTGGGTGTGCAGGTCGCGTCCTTCTCTGCCCCAGGGACACCTCGGTCCCCTTTGCACAGTCAGTGTGGGACTGGAACCGGCCTCTCTCCATTGTCTGGACATCTGAGCCATGTGATTCACTTTATTTCCATCTCATGTGCTGGCCCCAAAGGACATCAGAATCCCCCTCTCCACCCCAATGAGTTTGTAGGACACCCCAGTCCTGGGTTAGGTAGGAAACCATCCCATCATCTCCCACTCAGCACAGCGGTGGTGATGGAGAGGGATCCAGGGTGGAATGCGAGGAAGGTGAGATGGCACAGTCACCTGTGGGTTGTTTTTGTCACTCTGCATCCAGCAGCCATCAAGGTCTGTGCTCTCAGAGCCACATGGATGCTGCTCAGCACATTAAAGGTAGCCTGAGGGCTCAGGGGGGCTGTGGGAGGGAGAGAGAAATCCCCCAAGGGAAGATGGCTTTTCATTTCCCCATATCGACCGCTTTCAGACAGGATTATTTATATTTGACATAACAGATCACCAAACTTGGGAGGCAGTGGGGGTGTGCTCATACTCATTAAGGTAGACAGTTCTCTGGCAGAATAAATTCAAGGTAAGAGAAGACGGCACTTTGAGGCTCAACAGATTGTCTTCCAGCCTGAAAGGAGCAGCGAAATCAGCATAAAACCTAGAAGGGAAAACTCTGCACTTCAGTCTGTCATGATGTATGGCTGTCATTTTTGGGAACCTGGCGGGTTATCCCGATTTTTAGAGTGCAGATGGTGCTCCTGGGTGACTTCATTTGAGCAAAAGTACCCAGTGGGATGGGTTTTTTAGTCATCACATCTTGTCTTCGCTGAGGAAGCATCTAAATTACAGTGCTGTGAAGGAAAGCATGAATTGTGCATGAAGTGAGTGCCTCAACTATCCCACACCTGTGCTGAGGCTCCTGCCCCACTGCAATGCCTTGTGAATAACTGGAGTTGTTTGCAGTCTCTGTGGTTGATTTTCTTCTTGCCTGAAACAGGCAGAAAGGTGCATTAGGGGCTGTCAGTTGGTGAAAAGAGATTTTAAACACCTTAAAGACTGTGCAGCTGTAATTAGAAGTGTAACCTCCTTCTTCTGCATGTCAGGATTTCTGTGCAGAGTGATGACAGGACCTCTTAAGGAATGGTGCTGGTGCTCAGGAGAGATAAAGAACTTCAACAAAATCCCCTGCAAAGCTACTGATGTTGATTTCTCACCCCGCAGTACATTGGTTCTCGTTCAGAAAGGATGTGGGGATTTGAGGGGAAGGAAGGAAACAGCATTTGTTCTTTTCTGGTTTATTGCCAGTGGGCACAGGTTACAAACACAGCTTTGAAATACCTGTGCCTACCTGGGCACAACGAGTGGCAGAACATCCCCAGTGCTGTGACTCCTGGTTGTGTCCTCGCTGGGCTCCAGCAGAGCCTGGTAGAGGCTCTGGCTGTCACATCTCCTGACCCTTTTCCACTGAATCTCTGGCAGTCCCTAAACCCTCGTGGAGGTGACATGAGAGCCAAGCCTGAACCCTTTTCTCTGTGAGGAGAATGTGTTCAGCAATGGGTAAGGGACAGACTCACTGCCTGTGGTTTATTGGCCCAAGCCTTTCTAAATGTTTCCCACTCTGACCCTACAGCCATTTCTCAGCACCCCTTTAGGGTCTTTAAAAGTTCTGCTGGGTGCCAGATTCAAAGAGATAAAGGTGCTCAGCTCCCTCAGGCATTTCTGTGCAGCCCAGAGAGCTTTGCTCACAGCCTGGCACAGTCTGTGCCACTGACCTCTGGGGTGTCAGGATGTGTCCTCAGCGCCCAGCACGTGGGGCAAGGAGGGCTTTTGCAGCTGGCCAAGCTCCAAGGGATTTGCCTGACTCAGGCTTTTCCCTCTGGCTGCGCAATGCTGGTGGAGGAAGCAGGGATGGCTGGTCCCTTGTCACTCGGGCTGTTCCCGTACCTGGCTGTGGTGTTGTCATGGATATGGAGAAGGACATGGCCAGGAAAGAGGTGCTGCATGCTGGCAGGGCTCCTGCAGCCACGGCTGGTGATGCAGCTTGTGACTTTGAAGAGGTGCAGGGAAGGATGGAGCAGAGGTGGCAGCTGTTGGGGTTGAACTTGAACTCATTCCTCATTTAAATTGTGTTTTCTCCCAGGTCATTTGGTGTAATCTCCTTCTCTCCTTGTGATCTCTTACAGTAGGATTGGTTCCCCCTTTGCCTGAGCAAAAAGCCTTTATCCCAGCAGTGCAGACGGGCAGAGGGGTGACAGAGAGGTGGGTGGTGGACTCCGACCCTCTCCAGACCTTTCAGCCACGTTCAGCTCACAGCCAGCACCAACCCAGACAGGCCTGGGACCTCAGGAACCTGCTAGAGCAGCCCTGGCCAGAGGGCAGCTGGAAAGGTTGGGGAACAAAATTAAAGGTCAGAATAATATTTTGAAATATCCCTGGACCTCTTTGTCCCTGGGAAGGTTAATGACAGCCTTGACCCATTAGCAGCAGTTCAGGGCAGCAGCAGGAGGAGCAGGCTCCATGCAGATGTGATTCTCAGGGTGTCAGAGGCATCACTGAGGGGGGACAGGACTGGATTTAGGCCAGAACCACCACAGTGATGATTTTACCCCATCCTGTGTGTCCAAGAGTACAGATTTCTCTCTGGAGCTGAGCGTCAGCAGGGACAGTGTTGGGTCCAGCACCTCCCTCAGCGTGAGCTGCCCTTGGCACGACAAGGAGTGGAGACAGGACACGAGCCAGGGGCTGGTGAGTTCTGTCACCCTCTCACTTCAGACAGAGTTGTCTCCTGCTCAGAGCTGACCTTTTACTCCACTCCCAACAATGGCACAAGATGAGCTGAGGCACCACCAGGACAGCTCAGCCCTGCTGACCATCTCCCTTCTCCCTCATCTCCCTCCCGCAGGACAAAAGCCACCTGCAGCCACACACATGGATGTTGTGAGCGTGCTGAGCTTCTCTGGACAGCAACACTGATGTTTTCCTGAGCTGGAAGCTGGAAAACACGTGCCATTGTCCACCAGCCCAGGAGCTGAAGGAGGGAGGGATGCAGCTCCTACACGGGGCTGAGTGGAAGGTACACACGGCTCTGCTGCCCTGGGAAATAACTCTGTGCTCCACAGCTTTTATCAAGGAGATGGAAACTTGTCATATTCTTTTTGCAACCATATCTGACATTATCCAAGCAATTTGCCTTTGGTGTGTTTCCAGAAATAGTTAGGCCTACGGTAGGCAGGGGTGACATCTGGATGCATTACTGTTGAGTTCAGAAACATTCAGTAAACAAGACAGGATCTATTGTTTAAAGGTTATTTCAAAAGGCTCCCAGCGACTTCTCTGGCTGTGCAGTGGGAAAAGCTTTAATGGCACTGTGGTAATTGCCTTTTCTGAAGGACATTTTACCAAAAAACCAAAAGTAAGGCTCAGCCTGTCCCAGCCAGGTGAGGGACCTGATCCAAGCTGAAAATGTGAGGGGGTTTGCTCTTTGCTTCAGCGCTGGTGGGATCAAAGCTGGGAAATGGCTGAAGGAAGGGCAGGCTGGGGGGCACAGATGGGGGATGCAGGGGAGCTCACCAACAGTTCAACAATAAAAAAAGGTCTCAGATCAGCATAATAGGGCAGCAGGATTCACATCAGCAGGGAGGGCGAGAGAAAGAGCCCTCCTCGAGGCACTGAGGGGAAAATAAATGTCATTAGCCATGGATAAAGCAGCTGCCTCTGAGCACCTGAGCCGAGGGCGGGAGGCTCTGCAGGGAGAGGGGGCTGGGGGGCCACAGCAGGAGCCACTTGGAGCCCACGCCTCTATTCAGCCTGTCCCAGAGCACTGAATTAATCTCTGTGGAAATAAAAGGAAAAGTGAATTCCTGGCAGGAGCCAGGGCCAGCTGTGCTCCCCTCCCCTGGCCCAGGTGACAGGGATGATGCCCGTGTGGAGGGAGGGACCAGCTGTGGCTCTGCTGTCCCTCACACAGGAGGAGGCACTGCTGCCTGCTCTCCTGAGCCCCAGGGCAGGCAGAATTCATGCTCACTGATGATTTCCTGCCCCTCAGAGAGGAAATGGGTTCACATATCTTCCCGTTCCACCGGTGTTTTTCCCCGAGGGGCAGTGGGGTGAGCGAGTTCCGCTCAGTGGAGCCCTGGGGCTCTGCCTGGAGCAGGACCGTGCTGTGCCGCTGCCTCCAGCCCTCCTCTGCCTCACCTGGTGCTGCTGTGAGGCTGTGTCAGTGCTGGGGGAGCCCTTGGGAGCTGCTCAGATCCCACACACCCAGCCTGCTGCCCATGCCTCCCTTTTCCCTTCTGTTCACCCACTGCTGCTCCAGCCCTGCCCTCCTGCTCCACAGCCCCATCCTCTTCTTCATCCCTTGCCAAGATAACAATCACAAAATCCTTAGGTGGTGAGACAACCACAGGAAACTGCATGAAAAACAGGCTTTGGTGAAAAAAAAAAAAGCAGTTTTTTACCCTTTGAATTGCTACAGAA